CCTTTATTAATAAAATAAATTAAAGAGGAAATTAATGAAACTGGTTTACACCGTTTCCATTGTTGATTTTCTTTTTTTTTTCTGTTAACGTAAAATAGCCGTCCTGTACCATCCAGTATTAAGTTCTATATGTATTCAATGTATAGATAAACATATTTATCTGTAAATACTTATTGTTAAATTAATTGGATTAAATGATTAATCAGATTATTTATTTGTTTCTATAGCGAATACATAAGAAAAAATAGCAATTGTTTAGCTTGAAATTACAGTAGTTTTATTTTCAGTTTATCACATATTTATTTGATTCAAGCAGTCATCCACTACAAACGCCTCGTAAAAAAGTATACTAAATAAATTGATTTGCATAATCAAAAAGCAGAGAAAATACTCAACTTAACAGTGACTGGCACAACCATGCCAACAGTAACAAGTAAAGACAAAGTAGGATTACGTTTATTAGTGGTATAAGAAGCTGTCCTGAAGAAATTACTTTAAACTCAAAATAATGCTAAAAGTTCATTTTTTAATCAAAATAAAACGATTGACACTTTTGAAGATAATTTTAAAAAAATTTTTGAGACATTAATTTTTTCAGATCTGAAACGGCATTCCCTGGAATGGTCTGTCCATTGCCCAAAACTAAAATTGCCAACTGAGATCATTGTGCAGCGGATAGTACACTAATGGTCTAACTTAATTGTGCATACAAATTAATTCTGATGATACTAGCATGTATAGCAAAAATGCTATTAGTGGTAAACTAATAACTGTTCTAGGCATTAGCATTCTGAACCTTTTCAAGACCAAATGAGTCAAACATCTCAGTTTGCGAAATAGTCAATTTTTAAATGTGTTAATAAACAAGTTTATTTGTTGTGTATTTATTATTTTCGATCCATACTGAATGGTTTTCTTTTTGTTCAGAAGTCGCCATGAGCTTTGGTTAAATATTAACGTATTACCATAACTATCAAAATAACAAATAAACACTTCATGAAACAAGTCAAATTTCTCAAAAAAAATATTTTTTTTGCGTCAACTGCTTACTTCTTAAAGCAATAATTTAACTGCTATATGATAACTTCTTGCAAATACCTTCTGCAGTTCCAGCAAAATGTTTTAAAAGCTACATGACCATAAGTATTAAGCACTAGTCAAGGGCTTTACACAGGAACTTTACACAGTCAACTTTTAAATTTATGGACTGCAGACTCTGCTTTTATCAGCTGTTCTGTACAATGTTCACTGCAGATGCAGAAAAATATTTTTACAAATGATGAGTTATTGCCTAAGAGACACTAACCAAAAGCATGACCAAATCCTAAACGCCAGATGTTATTACTCTAAAGCTCATGAAAGACACATCAAGCAGATATCATGAATTAAGAACTTTATTTGTTCACAACTAGAAGGAACATTTTAATCAAAAAAAGGCGACTTTATTAAAACCCGTAGATACTCATTTCTGCCGGCTCCAGCCGCCTTAAACAAAAGTTTGAAACTAATCTTCCTGTGATAACTCCTCCTCACTGTGCCACTTAAAAGGAGCTCACAGCTCTAAAATGTCCAATCCTTGCAGATCCCAGCTTCCTTGACTGTCTACTTACTCCTAAAATATTTTTTCAACCTTCCTCCTGATGTCTCCTGCACACTTAAACCTTCTAAACCCTTGTTCTCTTCAGCTTTTCTAATAATATTAAGTGTGAATCTTCATCACTTTAGAAATGGAGCCGCTGAGGAGCAAACCACAAACGTTTGACATCGCAAACGCGATTAGAAGTCATAAAACGTTTACCAAACCTAGTGCGTATACTGTATTTTATTTATTCAAAATCTTTTTAGGCTACGCAGTCTCTCGTATTTCACTACCGATAAAAACTTCTGCCATTTCATTTAATCGAACGGCACTACCGCATTATAAACGGTCTACAAACTGCCTATACCTTAATCCACCACATAACAAAATAAAAAATTTATTTTCGAAAAATCTAGCCATAATCAACGCAGCTGTAGTTCTACCTAACAAGTAACAACGTAGCAAACAGTCCAAAAGGAAACTAATACTACAACCACATTTTTGAACTAATCACTAAATTACAGAGAACTGCTTCTCTTAAACGTCCTCCTTCATCAATGCCGTATTTTTTTCAACTTAACAGTCTTTCAAAAAAACTGAAAGCATTTTTGCCACGTCTTTGTCAAAACTACGAAGTTTAGAAATGAAGCCGGCATTAAAGGAGATACGACTTTTCCCTGAAACTGTGGGCAAGGGCCCTTTGTTCTACGGTGGCATACGAAGTGCTCCATCAATACGCACTACTTCTCCATTCATATAAGGATTTTCAATCAAGTGCTGTACCAGTGCAGCAAACTCCTCCGGTCGTCCTAGCCTTGAAGGACATGGCACTAAGTCACAAAGAAATTTTCGAGCCTAGAAACAAAACCGTAATTAGCCGCAGAGAATTGTCATGAAACTCGCGTCAAATGAGTAGACCAGAGTCCTAAAAAACTTCAATTTTCTGGCGTCCAAGTTGCAACAAATTTCACAGAATCCCCTAAACCGGTAGCGTCTAAAGTTTGGAACCTTCTCTGGAAGCGATGCCAATAACGGCGTATCGAACAATCCAGGAGCTATTGTTATTACTCTTATTCCATCATCAGAAAAGTCTCGCGCTAAAGGCAAGGTCATGCTGGCAATTGCCCCTTTAGAAGCAGCGTATGCTACCTAAAAGTAACTTACTCAAAAACAACAATAAGGACAAAAAAAGTCCAATATACGAGCACAACGCCAAATCAATGTAGTTTGACTACAAACTCTCACTGACAAGCTCAGTTTGCAAAAAAAAGCTTAGGTAAAATGTGTACCACCAATTTAAACAAACAAATATGATTTACAGCTTTCTCAAATGATAGTCTAACTATGAGAGAGGGGTTACCAATATGGGCAGGGTATAAAGTTTTTTACGATCAAATAATTCTAACAAGCATCTTGATGCATACAGAATTCTATGTTTCCTTTGAAAGAACACTGTAGACTGCCTTTTGAAAAACTGTTAAAGCCAAAAAAAAAAAAAAAAA